CATTCCTGGGCCTGTATCCTCCTGCTCTGCCTCTGTGACTGAAGGCTCATAACAGCTCAAGCCTAACACTGTGGGGGGGTGCTTATTACAAAATGGGGTTATAGCAGTAACCGTTCCCTAAAGCCAGGTAGATTGTAGAAGTGAGAAGAGCGATTAGTCCTAAAGAGCATGGGTCTAGGGGCACAGAGGAGGGTTCCACATCTGTAAGTAGTCTTCTCCACCTCCTCTCCTTGCCGCATTCCCACATTCTTGAGAAGATGCCTTTTTGCCCAGTTTGTACTCCATGTCTTAGTCATATCTCTGTTGTTGCTGGGATGGAAGTTTTTCTTATCCTGAATTATAGGGAGTGCTCTGGGCCCCAGGCGTGGTGTGCGCGGGTATTTCGGGGTCCCCGCCACACCTGGCTAGTTGCAGAGCGGGTCTGGCCACAGGCATCTCTGGCCGCGGAGGCGGGTGCCCCGCAGGCTTTTCCCGCCAGCTCGGGTCCCGTGTCTCTGTCCGCACGTCTCTGGTGCTGAAAGTTTCTCTGCTACTGGAGCGTTGTCCAGCCGAATCCTGTCCCTTTTCCACCCGTGTACTTTCCTCAGGATGCGAGGTCCACTGGCCACTGAACCACGCAGGAAGAGTACAAGGACAGCGAAAGCTAGAATGTCCGCAAGTCAGTAACGAGGGAGTGCTGCCCCCTGGGGAGGCTAGATTACAGGCAGGAGACACAGAACTCAGTCTACAGTTCTTTATTCCAAGTCTCAGTGACCCAGTTCTCACTCTAGCTCTAAGTCTGCTTCTAGCTCCAAGTCTGCTTCTAGCTCCAAATATTGAGAGAAGACTAGGATATTTATACCATGGGGGTAGTGGTAAAAGCTTTGGCTGTTAGGTACTTTGTGAGACATTGTATTTACATATGGAAGTGGGTTTCTGCCAGACTGCTGTCTGCCTGAAAAATCACAGGAAAGCATGATATTCCTAAAGCCAGAGGCCATGTTTGTGTTTAGACCATTCGTGGCGGGCACTTCAAAAAGAGAGTCAGGAAAGATGCCAGGAAGGCACCCTGCTATGAAAGGAGCCCCAGCACATAATCCCGAGCTGCATGAGCTGTCCGGACGTGAAGGGACTTCTACTTTGCATAACAGAGGTCCCCAACACTGAATCATGGCCATGGATTCCTCTTATAGGCTTCCAAAATGTCCCCATTGGCTTAACCAACAAGTGATTATATTTGCATTATGTTTAAAGAGAGATTCCACAATGCTCCCCACCCCACCAATTATAAATCATCACTCCTGCTGACAGGCCTTATCAGAGGGTTGTAAGCTCCTGTTTGGAGATATGACCCCCAGAACATACCACTCCACCATAAAGTGATTCCTGTTCTGCAAACAAGTCCTTCTGAACAATGTGGGCCCTGAGTCCTTTACAAACACCTCGACCCCATAACTTTACCCCTGCATAGGAACATAAACTCCCCTGCTGCTTGACTGGTGTGGCTGCTGTGCTGATTCCTGCAATCACCTCACCACCCCTCATTGGCTGTAAGAAGGTCAATCTGGATTGTCAAGGTTGACTGCTTTCCTTTCTACCTGTGACGCTTTCCACTCCTGTTCCTAACAATCTTTCTTATTTCATTTTAAAGTATTTTATTATTTTTATTTTATGTGTACCAGTGTATTGCCTGTCTGTATGTAAGTGCACCCATGTTGTGCAAAGTCTGTGGAAGCTAGAAGAGGGCATCGGATCGCCCAGAACTGGAGTTAAGGATGGTTGTCAGATGCCATGTGGGTGCTGGGAACTGAACCTGGGTCCTCTGCAAGAGCAGCCCGTTTCTTAACTGCTGAGCCCTCCCTCCAGCCCTGAGTTGTGGCACTTTTATCTAGGGGGTAATCAACAGCTATCTAATTGGACTTAAAGCCCTCTCAGTGGGAGGGAACTCATGGGTGGCGTTGTAAATATAGTCAAATACACATGGATGGATAGGTCATAGATCCTAGAGAAAACCTTATCTCTGTCATATCTCTAGGCAAATGAAATTTCTTACTGTATGCTAAATACAGATCCTTATAGTTACAGACAAGTATACCATATACTACTCATCAAATCTTCTTTTTGCAACAGATGGATCTATTACAGAGTTCCACAACTGGTCATACACAGAGAATATATGCTGAGAGATGCCCAGCCCTAGGTGTCACATCTGCAATGGAATCTACAACTCATGGAACATAGTGGAGCAGGGGGTAAAGAGAATACTAATACATCTCTTAACTCTTACCAGCGAAGGCTCCTCATACAACAGAGGGTGATGAACACAGGCCACAATTGGCTAAGTTTTAGAGAACAAGAGACTGCAGAGTGTGTGTCCCTGGATAGGACTCCTGTATCAAACCTCACCTACGCAGAGCTCATGGACTGTTGTGGAAGAGGGGACAGAAATATTGTAAGAACCACATTTGTGTATGAAAATAAGTAAACAGGCTTTCAGGCCACTGGGAACTTGCTCATATGAACTTGCATCAATGGCGACAGCATGTACAAGACCTATGGTGGCTCAGTCAGACAAAAACCAAGCATTGAATGTGGGAAATGGGCAGTAGGCCCCAAGGTTAGCCGAGGAACTACTGGCAACTGATTACTGCCTGGTGAAGGAGAATAGATCTTTTAAGATCTCTAGATAGGCTCCAGTAGATGAACTTGCACCAAAGGACATCTGGGTACAATTGCTTGACCAGATAGGACTTAATATATATGACAGAATGCATGAACTCCAATGGGGGGAAGGGCTATCAGGAGGCACAGATGAGGGATGGGGGGTCTAAATTTGATTGAGTGCTGTTATATGAAATACACAAAAACTCAATAAAATTTTTTTTTTAAATCCTGTCATTTTACAGTGATTGTAAATATGAGCTATGCCTCTTCCTTGAGGAGCCAAACTCACAGTTTGGTATCTTAGTTTGTTCTGAGCACCTTCTGCTCCGAATCCTGTGCTTAAAGCCTGTATTAAAATATCTTTAATAAAACTTCCAATTTTGCTTTACAGACACTCTAGTCCAGCCACAAATTCTGATTTGGCCTCAGTCAAGAGGTCCCTAAAACTTCAGAACTCCTCAGGCTGCTAAGGGTGACAATGGGAAGCTGCCTCTGTGGTGGTTTGAATGAGAATGCCCCCCCATAGGCTCCAAGTATTTAGACATTTTGTCCCCAGTTGGTGGCACTGTTTTGGGAGGTCTTAGAAAGTGTGGCCATGCCGAGGAAGCACATCACTGGGGGCAGGCTTAGAGAGTTCTTAAGCCTCATGGGATCCCTCTCTGTTTCCTGTGCCCGCTTTAAGATGTGAGAGCGTAGTTTCTGCTCCTCCTCCAGCCACCTCTGCCACCATGCCTCCCTGCCATGATGGACTGACTTTTGCCCCTTTTGAACCATAAGCTAAATAAACTCTTCTTTTTATAAGTTCCCTTGGTCATGATGTTTCTATCACAACAGAAAAGTCCTGTATCCCCAAGTACTCCTTATCCTTTAAACTGCCAGTGTTAGGCCTGTGCTGTCCCTACTCAATTCAACTTCCTTTAAAAAAATACGCCTTCCCGGCACTTGGGAGGCAGAGGAAGGTGATCTTTGTGAGTTTGAGGCCAGCCTGGTCTATATAATGAGTTTCAGGGGAGCTGGGGCTACAAGGAGACCCTGTCTCAAGAAGACAGAAAAAAAAAAGATCTACATGAAGATCTGAAGATTTACTAGGCCCATGCCTTCCTGACCTTTAATCTTACACAGTACTTATTCCTCCACACACTCTGCCTTAACATGTTTCTTGGAGGATCTGAGCTGCTATGTCTTCATAGGGGTCATCATAACTTAAACAACCGTGCTGCTTAGCCTGTAATTTGTCTGGCTTTACTCACAAACTTGGTTCAAATGCATATCCAGATATTTTTTCATTAAGCTGTAAAGGCAAGAAATTACATTTTATCTGTGTGAATTTGTTTGACCTTTCTTGCTTTCTTTTCCACCACTCCAGGTGTTTTTTGTGCCTGTGTTTTTTTTTTTTTCCTTTTTCCCTTGTTTTCATTTGGATGACTTAAATTTATGCTTTGAATTTGAAATACTTGGTGGACCCACAATTCAGTAAATACAGGATTTTGAAGAGGGGTCAGTAAAAGCCTCTGACAGAGGTGTGTAAATTCATGATTTTCTCCCTTCCTTTCCTTCTTTCCGTTCTCTCTCTTCTAGGAAGGCTTCTTTTCGCGCTTAATAACAGCGTGCACCAACACGCACCGCTAAGAAAAAAAAAATTTAGCTGAAACATTTTAAAAACCTGAAGAGCTGGGCGTGGTGACGCACACCTTTAGTCCCAGGGGATCTTTGTGGTTCCAGGCCAGCTGGGCCTACAGGGAGACCCTGTCTCAGAAAGGCCAAAAAAGATGAACAAACTTGTTCCAAATCTGATCAATAGGTATGGCCAAGTTCCTGCAAGAAAGACGGCCGTTTAGGGACGAAAATAGCGGCGGCTGCTGGCACCTTCCTGGTGGGAGGGGCGCAAGAGGAGCAGGGCAGGGCAGGGGCGGGACTTCCGGAGCAGCGCCACAAGATGCACCGCCACCTGGGCTTCCGGGGTGTCTTAGAATCCACCATGCTTAGGTGCTTCAGAAAAAAATCCCCACTTCCGGTTGGAATACTTCAAACGCTAAAATGAGAATAGAGATTGGGTTCTGGCTACTATCCCCCCAAAACAAAATGTCCTGAAATAGATAGCAAACAAAGAAGAAGAAGAAAAAAAAACCTGCACTCCTTTATGAAATTGGCGGACCGAGAAAAAAAGCGTGCTCACTGGCAGGCCACGAGACCAAGGAGTGGGGCCCCGCAGGGCCAAACTTAGTTAACTCCAGTAGTGCTCCGCAGCGTCAGCCCTTGTCGGCCTTTCCCACGCAGAGCATCACGGGAGGAGGTGCTTGGCTCTGAGGGGCAGAGGTCTTGTAAAGAGAAACCGGCGCCTCAGGGCCGCCCGCCCCTTCCCCGAGGCAGCTTGGGGATCACCGCCTTCTGCGACACGGGCGTCGTCCACGCGGGCCGGAGGTGTGGCCTTCGGTTTCCTGGAGTCCCGGTGAGGCGTTCGGTGACGCAGTTTCTGAGCGTGCCTATCCCCAGGTCGCTGGAACGCGGGCTTTTCGGATTTGAAATCCCGAGCTGTTGTGAGTGTTGGCGTAGCGGCCGTGTCGCAGGAGACCCGCGTGTCGCCTCGGCCTGCGGCCTCTGTGGGCCTGAGGCTCAGCGAGCCCTGGGACATTAGGCCCCTTGGCCCGGAGCCCGGCGCTCGCCCGGGCCTCGCTCTGGTCTTGCAGCCTTCACCGGGCTCGACCGCCCGTGCGCCGCCGCCCGCCCCTGCCGGCCTAAACAGGTTTGTGGCTTTGGCTGTCGCCTGATGACCGCCCATTAACTCGGTTGCGGCAGGTCCACTGCGGTGGTCTGGAGAATGGAGCACCGCTCGAGGGCGAGCGCGCTGGGTCTAATTCCCAAACCAGTCTTCAGTTAGAAGGAGCGGGAAGAAGATGGCGAGCCTCGGCGCATGTCCTGGAATCCAGGACGCGAGACACGGAAGCGTCCGTGTGGTCTCAGGATTAAATCCCATGCTTGTTGCAAACATCCTTAGATGCAGAATGGAGGGCCCCTGCGTCCTACCCTTAAGGGTAAACCGTTTACGGCTCGGTGCAGGTTTTCTACGGGTTTCTTCCTCCGTGTTTATACTCACATGTGTGCTTTTGTTTTGTTTTCCTTGACTAAAATGCACCTACAACTCCGTTTTTCTCTTTAGTAGTTCCTGGATTCTTTAATATCAATACATTGTACATGCTTTTATTGTTGAATACATAGAATAGCCGAACTGTGTCACTCGGACATCTTGGTTGCTTCCTGTTGCAGTACTGGGCTTTGAATCTCCCGGGCCAGACGAGGACCAGCACCCCACCACTGAGCGATAGCCTCAGCTCGCTCTGTTTCTATTGAAATATTCTAAGTTGCCCAGCTGTTGTTGAATTTGCTTTGTAGCTTTCGTAGGCCTGGAACATGCGATCCTCCTGTTACAGACCAGGTAGCTGTGATTACTGTGCCATAGGGTCAGTCTTTTTTGTTATTTATTTGAGACAGGGTCTCACTGTGTAACCCTGACTGACCTCGAACTCAGAAATCCACCTGCTTCTGCCTCCTCAGTGCTGGGATTAAATACGAGTGCCACCATGTCCTGCAAAAATACAGTAAAAAAGTTATAATTACAAGTTACTTTTTAAAATTTTTATGTGTAGGCGTGTGCTGCCGGCATGAGGGTAAGTGCACCCATGTCGTGTAACACCTTTGGAGGTCAGAAGAAGGCAGTCACATTCCCCTGGAACTGGTTACTGCCGGTTGTTAGCTGTCATGTGAGTGCTGGGAATGGAACCTGGGTCCTCTGTAAGAGCAGCTACTGCTCCTAACCGCATGAGCCATCTCTCCAGCCCCACAAGTTACATTTTATTTGAAGTTTTCAACTAACACCGTATAATTTAAATGTTCTGGAGCATAATAGAACCCGAGTTAGAGATCATTTAAATGATTTATTTCAATGGGTCTTTCAGCTTTCATGGGGGTCATTGTTGCTGCTGCCTTTAAGTACATAAGGGAAGAACATTTGTTAAGCTTAATTTTTTGTAATCTGAGATTGTACTTAATGCAGATAGTATTCTTTTTTATGTATGTAAATGCTAGAGTGGAACCTTAAAGACTTGATGCTCAAGTGAATTTCACTGCCAGTGATGTAGCCCAGTAGTAGAATGCTTGCGCAGAGTGCTCAAGAACCTGAGTTTGATCCCTAGTATTGAAACCAAAAATGGACAGAAAGCCTCATTGTGTTTGGCACTACAACCCTTTAGGGGAGTTCACAGTAAGTTTTTTTTTTGTTTTTTTGTGACAGGGTCTCTCCGTGTAGACCAGCCTGGCCTCAAACCTACAGAGATCTGCCTGCCTCTGGCTCCCTAGTTCAGAGATCAAAGGTGTGCACCATCGCACCTGGCATCAGTGCTTTTGTGTGTGTGTGTGTGTGTGTGTGTGTGTGTGTGTGTGTGTAGAACCAAATTTAGATATCAAACTTCTCAGCTATAGAAAAATAATGAAAATGAGAGGGTTTTTTGTTTTTGCTTTTTAAATTGTGTCTGTGTCTGTGTCTGTATGAGTGTGTCATGCACCTGAGTGTAGGTGCCCGTGGAAGCCAGAAGAGGGCATTGGAACCTTTGGAGCTTGAGTTACAGGTGGTTGTGAACTCAGTGTGGGTGCTGGGAGCTGAAATCAGCTCCTCTGCAAGAGCAGTATCTGCTCTTAACCACTGAACTATCTTTCCAGCTAGAAAATGAGAGTTTAACAAAAATGTTAAATACCAGTCTGATTTGGGAGCTATAGATTACCCAGTGATAGGAACTAGTTAAACCTTTTAAATGATGTAATGTTATGGAAAACAAGTAAACTTTAGAGTTAACAAACAATGGTAAAAGTTGATTTTACTTTGAATTACAGGTTTCTTTGGACTCATGCTGAAGTTGTGTCCTGAAACTTGTGTTGACTGAATGGTCTATTAAAAGAATTTTTTTTTTTTTCTGCTGTCTTATCAAGATGACTGCAACACCCTTGAAGCATTTAGGAATTAATTTGTTTTCAGAAACATCTCAAAGAAGAAACATACCTGTGGATGCAGTTTTTATTGACAACATTCCTTCAGGCATGCTTACGCCTATGAAAGATTTGGTGAAATATCAGAATTCCACCGTAAAATTGGATTGTCATAAAAAGAATCAGTTCTTAGAAATGACAACGTCTAACAATAAAAATAGATTTCAATCCACCACACTATCAGAGACTACCATTTCAAGGAGTTGTATTGATATCAGTGTTATAAAGCCCAACAATGATGGATTGAGAAATAAAATGAACTATGAATCACCAGGAAGAATCTTTCAAAGAATGAAAGAAAAAGTACAGTGTGGCAAGCAACGAACGTTGATAAGCATTAGTGTGTTGGGACCTCAGAAATATGAATGTAAGGAGATTGTCACTTCTAACAGGAATGAGAAAGTACAATTGCAGCATACCTACCTCTGTGAGGAAAAAGAAAATAAATCATTCCCATCCAGTAATAATTCATTAACAGGTTAGTTTAATTATGCATGGATTCAAAAAAACTGTAATGGTCTTTTTAAGTGTTTAATGTATCAGGATATAGTAATGAATGAAGTATCCCAAAATGCCTGCCTCTGTTGAGTAGAGCTCACATTCAGAGAAACTTATAAAGGTAATTATTATGGTATAATAGAAGGGATAAAACAGAAAAGGAGCTGGGTGGTGGCAAACACCTGTAATTCCAATACCTAGGAGGTTGGCTGGAGGATCACTATGCAGTTCAAGGATAGCCTTGAACTGCATAGTGAGGTCAAGAGTAGTGTGGGCTACCCAAGAGTGAGACCTTGTTTCAAAAACCAGTAACAAAAAATATAGTAAAGATGATGAGTGGAAGGTATGCTGTGGTCAGAGTAAGCTTCATTTGAGAAAGTTCAGTAAGGTAATGTCTAACCAAGTGAGCAACTACTGGTACAGATCCCTTACATAGAAACATGCTGGACAAATTCAGGGACCAGCTTCGGATATCCTGAGTGAAGAGAGAGCTCAAGAGGACAGAATAAATGCAGGGTCAGTCAGAAAACAAAGGGTCTTGAAGATAAACACTTTTCACTGCGGGCGACTTAAGAAGTGGGTCACATATGGGGACCCTATCTAGAAAGAAAGAAGAGATTGTGCTGGGTTAGGGATAATTGTTAAGTAGATTTGATGATCTGGAATAGGAAGTAGAAAGAAATGGTAAATGTAAAATTTTCCCTCTTTTTCTATTTTTGTGTGTATGAGTATAATGTCTGCATGTATGTAAGTGCACCCATGTCATACAGGGCCCGAAGAGGTCAGAAGAGGGTGTCAGATTCCCCTGGAACTGGAGTTAAGGATGGTGGTTAGCCACTCTGTGGGTGCTGGAATTGAACCCAGGTCCTCTGCAAGAGTAGCCAGTGGTCTTAACTGCTGAGCCATCTCTCCAGCCCCTTTCCTAAAAAACTACTGGGGATTGAAGGATTGAGACTAGAGCCTCAGGTGTGCTAGACAAGCACTCTGCCACTGAGCCTTTTTTTTTTTTTTGAGGCAAGGTCTTGCATTGTCCAGGCCAATGTGATTCTTGTTTCATTCTTGAGTGTTTGTAGGTATGTGCCACCAAGTCATGTGTCACGTGTAAGAGAGTTTGGGGTACAGGTGGAGGAGTGCTCAAAATAATGTTTATCATACAAAGTATGAGAAAAGGAGGAAGCAAATGCAGAGTGATATACACATTCATATGTATACATATATGTATGTGAGATCAGATGAAGTTCCTGTCTTTGAGATTCTGCTGACTCTGCCTGAATGTGCACACATACAAAATTTTTTAAAAAATTTTCCTGGCATAAATTTAAGCTCATTTCTGTATTTGAGATGCATTAAAATTTAAAGATCTAGGATATCAATTTTAAAAATGCAAACAATACTTCTAGTCTTATTTGTCTAGTTGACAAACCTACTTTTATTCCATTGAATGCCTAAAAAAGATGTCAAAAGCTGGGCAGGCTGGTGCATTCCTGTAATTCCAGTACTCAGGAGACTTTCAGGCTAAAGGCCAACGTAGGTTACATAATGAGACCCTATCTCAAACCAAAAAGAAAAAGTCAATGGGCTATAAATTATAGTTGAACCAGCTGTTAAGTCTCCACATTTTGAATTTTAAAGGATAAACTAGAACTCATTAGCCATTCGTTCATACCCTTTAGTCAGGGCCTCTTGAGGAGAACCTGTGCCTAACCACTTAGGGCTTTGGCACCCATTACAGCCTCCAGTACATGTAGGCTGGAATCTGTTGCTAGGCTAAGCATTGAGTAAACCCTGCCCAGATGCCCAGCCCAGGGCTCCTAGGACTGCACCCTGGTTCTTACTGCCATTTGCACAAGAAGGAGTCATGGCCCGAAATCTGCTCACAGAAGGCTGGTAGTATACTTTTGTCTTGAAAAGACATATTGTAATTCAGAAAAATTAAGAAAACAATTCTTCCTCTGCATAGTAGATGTATAGAGGATGAAGTGACGGCAAAGGAGATAAGAAAGTAAGTTTTTATGTCACTGTTATTTGGTACTAAAGCACATTGTAGTGGTCTGATCCTTATTGAACTGAAATGTCTTCTAAGTTTTAAAAAGACTTTTTTTTTTCCCCTGTGCCAATACAAGTCAGCTTCTTCTTTTTTTCTTTTTTTTTAAATGCCGACCTTCAAGAAGTTCCTCTGGAATCATCAAACATTCCAAGCAAACAAAATATTCAACATCTGCAGGAAATGAAAGCAAAAAGGCACAATGTAACTTACGGTAAATTCTTTTTTTCTTTTTCTCTTTTTCTTTTTCTGTATGTTTTCAGATATGTTTTGGTCTGTTACTTCAAAGCATTGTTAGATGGTCTAGACTTCCCAGTGGGTAATAAGAATTAAGTCCAGACCTTGAGTTATAAAAAACAGAGGCAGGAGCAGGAGGATAGACCATTCCTAATATGATGACTTTTTAATATAAACAGTTTTAAGTCAACTTTTATTTCTCTTAATTTCATGTGACCTTTCTATAATTTTTTTTGTTTGTATTTTTTGGCAGAACTTCCAATTCTGAACCAAGAACGAGAAAATCTTTCAGCTTCAGTTGTCTCAAATAAGGCATTAACTAGAGCTCAGTTGGCTAAACAAATTCTTCATTCAAAAGAGAATATGGTTAAGACCACCGTGTCCAGAAAGGACACATTTATTTTAGAAGGCATTGAATCTACTTATAAAAAGTTAGAAAGTACTGATGCTAAGACTCTAAGTATTGATTGTGTTCCTGTTAAAAATCGAAGTCACTCCATTGTTTCTAATAGCGAAGTGACAACTGAAGGGACTTCTCAAGAGGAGATTACAGAACAAAATGGAAAAACAGTGTCTAGAAGTACTGATCATCACGATTCCATGGAAGATACATGTAAGATTATACTCGCAAGTCCAAGACTTCTAACAGTACCTGACAGATCTCAGAGAAATATAACAAAGCCTTCTCCTCCAAATGTAATTGAAACTATTACAAATGAAGTTAAAAAATACCAGGTAGGAATACATTTAAGGCAGATATTTACTTCTATTTTTAATTGCTACCTTGCCTCCATTCTCTAAGAAGTTGAACACTTACTGTATATTATTTAATGTTTTATTGTTTACTCTATCAACAGTGTAAGCCTAGTTAGAAGAACAACAGGCTAAAAGTAAGAAGAGTCAAGTGTTCATTTTTTTTATCTTGTTCTATTATTAGAAACTCTCCAGTCATTCATTTTTAGAGAAGGTGGACCCGTGCACAATGCAGATTTCCAGCTGGCTACTCCCAGCTGGGAGCTCTGGGTTTCCTCCATGACTCTTTGTTACTTGGTAATTCATCCCTTTTTATCACTGAGTAACATTCCATCCTCTGGATGGACAATGGATTTTTTTTTCCCTTTTCACCAAGGCCATCTGTGTTGCTTCCAAGTTTGGCAACTATGAAAAAAAAAAAAAAAAAAAAAAAAAAACTATGAACAATGTATAACATCTAAATATCTAAAAGAATTTTCTTGATATAAAACTGTATAGGGTGATCAATAAAAGACCTTATAGCATCCATCTATGTTACATTAGGATAAAGTTTTTTAAAGTCTGGCATCTTTATTATTTTATTTTTATTTTATATATATCAGTGCTTTGCTTACGTGTATGTAAGTGTACCCATGCATGCAATGCCTGTGGAGATCAGAAGAGGATGTTGGATCCCCTGGAACTAGAGTTATAGATAGTTGTTAGCTGCCATGTGAGTGCTGGGAACTGAACCTGGGTCCTCTGTGAGATCAGCCAGTGCTCTTAACCACTGAGCAGTCTCTCCAATCCCTATATAAACTTTTGAAGGAAGTGTAATTGAAATGCCAGTTCAAGAAGAAAGATAATAGGCATGTATGAAGCCTAAGGCTTGATCTCCCAACACTGAAAAAAGAAAAAAAAAATACAATGCAAAATTTCCAGCTGTTAAAGTATGTCCACTAAGTTTTAAATGGATGATAGTGTGTGTCAAATTAGCATGGTATTTAAATATTATTTTATTTTTAAATGATAAAGTGGTTGCAGTCTTAATATCTCAGTGCCTTCACTACAAATTGTATTATTTACAAATATTTTAAACTAATAAAGCTTTTTAGATATTATCTTAAAATTTATGAGGTGGTTTAAGGAGAAAGTTTGAACTCATATCCCTGTATAGTTTTGCACATTCCCTAATTCTGACCCAGTTTCTCACTTATCCTCAGTTCTTCAAACATTACATTGTACCCGCTTTACCTCGAGGTATATAATTAATAATGTTTTGTTATCTGTGTGTGTTGTGTTGTGTTTATTTTGTTTGTTTGTTTGTTTTTGGTGCAGAATCTCCCTGTAGCCCCAGTTGTCCTGGAACTTACTATGCAGACATTCTGTGAACATTGTTTTACCTTGTTCTTACTGAAATGGGGCTTCTACTAATCTCAATCTCCTTGATTTCTTCATCTCTAATGATTTTTCTCCTACCTTTTCCCTCTGCTCAACCCTACCCATATCTTGTCATAACTAGCACATATACCAGATTCTCAATGTGGAAGCATCCACATTCACTATCCACTCCTATTGTTCAGATCATGCCCTCTCCAGTACTCTAATATACATCTATAGTCTGACCCCTTAATTAAGACAGCCTTTAGTATATTCCATTCTCGTCTCCATTGCCCGTTTTATCCATGCAGATTCTGTAGTCCCTCATTACAACCATTGTAGGTTATTACTCTCAATTCTATTTTTCCAGTAACTTCCTGTCACAGGAGTAATAAGCCTTTAATCTGATTTACCACTTGCCACATCATTAATCCTGGAGTAAAATCTCCAATTCCCTCTCTTTGCTTATCCCTTTCAAGTTACTTTGCTTTTCATGCTACTAAAAGGCCTACTTAGGGCCTTTTGATTTTTGCTTAGAAAAATCTAACAGTTAATCATGTGGTTTATACCTCATTGTATGGTCTTTTTAAAAACAAAAAACGTGTGTGAGTGTTTTGCCTGCATGTATGCAAGTACGCTATGTACATAAAATACCCATGGGGGCCAGAAATGGGCATTAGATCCCCTGGAACTGGAGTTACAGGTGATCGTTAGGTACCATTTGGGTACTGGGAACTGAACCTGTGTCCTCTCCCACTCCTAACTGCTGAGCCATCTCTCCAGACCCTTATACCTAGTTTAATTCAATTTTCTGTTCCAATGCCTTCCTTATCTGTTTTAAGCATCCCAATATGTCTTTAGTTTTATTTTTTTATAGGAGCTATGTATATGTTTATTTGGATACCATCGTCTTACTTTCCTATTGGTTCTATTTCTGATAGGCACAGCCACAGGCAGTGTTTACTCTGTAACGGCAGCCATTTTATTGCTGAATCTCTCCTGCCCAGAACAGTTCATATAGCTCAAATATTTGATGATATAGGTGGTATAGCACAAGATTCTAGAAACTAAATTCTGATTTGTAAGCCTTGTGCCCCTAGTCATGTGTGTGTTAAAACTAAGATAAGTTATTTAGGTGCATTTTACAGTTTCTTTATCTAAAAAGTAAAGATTATAGCACTTACCTCCAAACGTTGTAGAGATAACCTGACTCAATGAATCTAAGGCACATGGAACACTTTTTAACGTTTCCTATTGACGATTGCTAGTTCCAGATGTAGAGAAAATATTACTTTCTGTCACTTTTCTTAGTTTTTTTTTTTTTTCGTTTTGTTTTGTTTTAAATGCTAGGGATCAAATCCAGGGCCTTGTGTCACATCACTGTGCTACATCCTCAAACTCCTATGGTATTTAAAAAATGTATAATTGAGAAATACAGTACCAAAGACCATCTACCCATTATAGCATTTTTTCTGATTCAGTTTTAAATCTTTGGGGAATTTATCTTTATATCTAAATATATTCTTTTATGCAAAGTGAGTGGACACTTATATTAGTTAGGCTATGAATCTTGGCTTTAGTTCCCAGAAATTCTTCAGTCTTAAATTCTTGTGATAAATGCCTTTATCCATTTGAATGGCATTTTTATACAAAAATTATTTTCTGAGCTATTTAGCTGTTTGCTTAGGAGTAGAATGCTATTGTATGCTTATTACTAGTGGCGACCTTTATGGTTTATAGAAAATTAAAATGTAACTTTCAGCCAGCTTAACAAAAATATACTTTAAATTTCTTTGGAGACAAGGGTTAGGGTTAGGGTTAGGGTTAGGGTTATATTTGACTCTAAGTTACTGTATCTTCCCTAAGACTTGGTAATTTAATGGGTATATTAAGATTCCTTTCCTTCTTGTGGCTAAGACATTTATTTAAAATATTATTATATTTTATATGTATGAGTGTTTTGCCTGAACGTACCTGTGTCATGCAGTACCTGTGGAGGTCAGAAGAGGGCATCAGGATTCCCTGGAACTGGCGTTACAGACAGTTATTAGCCACTGTGTGGGTGCTGGGAATCAAACATGGGTTCTCTGCAAGAGTAGCCAGTGTTCTTAACCACTGAGCAATCTCTGCAGCCCCTCTTGAAACATTTTATATCAATATTGAAATATAGATGCTTCTGGATCATGGGGCAAATAATAGAGTAGTTAAATCTTTTTTGTTTCATTCAATATAAAAGTTGTAACAATTGCTATTAAAATACACCTGCATTTTTTCTACTTCTTAGGAGAAAGAAAGGAATTGTTACTAAGCCTCCTCCCTTACTTTCTTTTCTCTTTTAGTTTTAGAATCATTTTTTTTTTTTTTTTTTTTGTCTTTTTGAGACAGGATTTCCCTGTAGTCCAAGCTTTTTGAGTCCAACTCAAAAAGATTCACCTGCCTCTGCCTTCTGCGTGCTGGGACTAAAGGTGTGTGCCACCACACCTGGCCAAATAGACTGATTCTTACATAGAGGGTTACTAAGAAATCACTGAGATTATTTAGATGATGTTTTTCTTGTAATTCAGATTAATATATAAGACTTAATGATAATTTTGCAAGTAGCACAAGAAATGTGTTCTCTGTTTTATGCTTGATTAGGTAGTCCAGCTACAGGAATGGATGATTAAAATCATCAATAATAATACGGCTATATGTGTAGAAGGAAAGCTGGTGTAAGTATAACATTTCAGTATTATTTTGGTTTGTTTATTTTGGTCTTGGTCTTTTATTTTTTTGAGATAGTAGCCCCAGCTGGCCTGGAACTTGCTATGTAGAAGAGGCTGGCCTCAGTCTCACGGAGATCCACCTGCCTCTGCCTCTCAAGTGCTGGGATTTATGTGCACCACCACCCCAGGCCCATTTACTATTCTTTTAATAACATTTAAGAAGAAGATTGTATGTGAGAGGTTAAAAGGTGATACATGACAAATATCTTCCTATGAAACACTTTCTCATGAGGTTATACACTGAAAGCAGAACCAATTATTTCTCACCATGTTATTGCCAGCTTTCTTCTTTTTGCCTGTTTTCTCGTTTTTAAAATACTGACAGATCAATTTGTATAGTGTAATTTTTCTGATGTGTATAAGTCGACTAGTATCTACCTAATTATATATAATTAGTTAATATTTACAACATGAACTTTAGTCCAGATTCTTATATAAATTAGGAAAACCTTATGCAGATTACTGATCCATCAAAGGAATTAAAATTATTTAAAACTGCTTTGCAGTTACATATTAATGGTATTTTTTGGTTCTCAAATGCGAGAGCATTATTGGGTGAGTGTACTTTGACTAATTCTGACCACTCAGCACCATTTTCTACTTTTGAGAATCAGTTTCTCTGGCAAAACAACTTGTAGTAAACAATATTGTCAATAAGGTATTTACATGGAAGTTTATAAAGTTGAATATGTAAAATCTGCTTGTCTACTCCATATCTAACTGCCTTGTACCCATTCTTTTTTTGTTCTTTTTAAATCTTTTTGAGACAGGGTCTCCCAGCAAAAACAACATTTCTGCCAAAAAGCCAACACAGTATAAAATGTGAGAGAAAAGGCCACAGAAAATCTTTGAAAGCTTTGAGTCGGTTAGGCAGAAGCTGGTATATATTTCATGTATGCTTCTGCTTTCATACTAATGCTATTGTTTATATTAAGTATGTGGATTAATGTGCTACACTATAGTTTCTTGTCTATACTCTGAAGATCACATTAGCTAAGCAGTAGAGTTCTGCACTGGTTGGCCCTCATGTTTTGTTTCTATTATTGTAGCTGTACCTAAGTGTGGAACTTAATACATAGACAAAGCTGACCTTAAACTTCCAGCAGTCATCCTGCCTTTGTTCCTGAAGTGTTGGGATTACAAGCCTGAACTACCATCACTGGCTCAAAATCAGTACTTTCTATTATTTGTATGTTTCTTCATGTACATGTGGTTCCTGGTAAAATGTATTTTGACCTCATTAAATTTTTTTTCTCCTAGAAATATGAATAATATTTATTGGCACAGTAATGTAATTATAGAGCGGATTAAGCACAATGAACTTAGAACTTTATCAGGCAACATTTATGTATTAAAAGGATTGATAGACCAGATTTCCATGAAAGAAGCAGGTAAATGAGTATCATTATTAGTTAAATCTTTCCATAGCTTTTCCTCTTTTCCTAAATAAATGGCCAGACTCATAAATTGACCCAACAACCTTGCAATGTCCCATGTACCCCTACTTACTGTATTACCCATTTGAATAAACTTATTACTAACTCCTCATGCTACCTCAGCTTTACTGTCTTACTGTTTCACAAACAGTCCAGCTCTACTCCACCTGGCTTTTTATCTTCCTCTGTTTGTAATGTAACTCGGTATTGCCACGGGACTCATTCTCAGGAGTTTGTTTACTATTTCAATAGGATTGTCCTGGCTACCCTTTTTAAAATTGCTGTCCTTTCCTTTTCTCCCCATAAACAACTTTATCTACATTCCCTGAAATAACATCTAACAAAGAATTTTACCTGTTGGGTTTACCTTCTCTAACACATGTAAGTAAAATGCCAAAGACCAGGGATTTTTGTCTGCTTTAACTGATAATGTCTCTAGCTGTACTTGGCATATAGTAAACAATAAGTCCATATTTCTTGACTGATTTGATGAACTAATGATGTCCTTAAAATTATAGGCTTTTAGGTAATTTTGTTTCTTTTTAAATAAAAAAGTTTGTTAATTATTTTGCTTATTGTTAAATAGGATATCCCTATTATCTCACAAGAAAATTTATGTTTGGATTCCCCCAAAACTGGAAGGAGCACATTGATAATTTTCTAGAACAATTAAGGTAACGTGTTCTTTTAAGTTTTTTAAAATCAACTTTATCGAGGTATAAGTTATATTCAATAAAATGCACTCATTTTAGAGACAAAATAGAATGAGACTTTACAAATGTAAACACTTATGTAACCAATGTAAAGTGGTTTTAGTTTGCTGAATTTTTGTGTTTCTGTGTATACACGTTAGTTTTGAAGTTCTCGTTGATCTTAGAAGAGTTTCAGAAACAATAATGCTTATTAGAATTTCTATCATTTCTATCATGTTGAGTAAATTGAAAAAGAAAGTAAAACTTTAGATATATTTTAAGGCGAGTTCTTCAATCACCTACCCATAGAAAGGCTTGTAGCTGTTGAATACTGGTCTAAAGTTCTTGGTCCTTGTTTTTTTGCATTGCTTCTCAGTAGTACTTAAGTATGTCAGGTAACCGAGCAGACACTGGGAGATGAATTTTATTATTTCTTGTCCTTAAGGAACTGATAGGAGACACAGAACTCTAAATAGTAATTTTTTTTAGTATTTATTATTTTTTATGTATTTGAGTATATTGTGTGCATGGAAGTGCACCCTTGTTGTGCAGTGCCTACAGAGGTCAGAAAAGGGCATTAGATCCCCTGGAACTGTATTTATAGATGGTTGTTAGCTCCAAGGTGAGTGCTAGGTATTGAACCCAGGTCCTGTGTAAGAGCAGCCAGTATTCTTAACCGCTGAGTCATCTCTCTAGCCCCCTAAATACTAAAGAGTACAGATAACTTGTAATAGGGATTGGTGATTTCCTCCCTCAACCTGGTGAAGTGCCAGACAGTATTTTTCTGGACATGCTGCTTCCATTCTCACCCTGCCTTTTTAACAGAAAAGCAACTATAAGTGTGCAAACTGGGTGAGCATGCCTGTGTTTGAGTAAACCTTATTTACAAAAATAGGCAACCCTCTGATAGTATTTGCTTTTTGGTTTTGTTTTAAATCCAGGTCTCACACATGTCAGGTAAGTGCTGTCCCTCTGAACTATATCTCTGTGTCCTATAATTTTCTTAAATCAGTTTAAATAGGAATTTTAAAAAATTTGTTTGATACGGGATCTCTTTTAGCCCAGGCTGAAGTCAATGTGTAACCCAGACTGGCTTTGAATTCCTTGATCATCCTGTTGTTATTTGTGAGTTTAGCTTTCTGGATCTTTGGAGAACGGGTATTAGAGAAAAAATAATATATAATTGTTTTTAGGGAAAGTGAAAAGAACAGGAATAAGGCCAGACAAAAACAGAGAACTGCAAGATTTGTTCATGATAAACAAAAATCAGTGAAAAATGATGCAGAAGAAAACCAAACAGATGCCCTCCAAAAGACCTGCACCACTTATGACCTTAATTGTGACACCTTGGGTATGTTTAAATTTTTCTTCTCCGTTGATAAAGTGGTAAATTCTTAAATAAGCTTAACATTATTGTATATAATATATAATGTTGTGTTCTTTGACTTAATAGTACTATAAATTTCTTGCTTTTTCACTAAAGTAACTGTATTGCAGACTGCTGCTCATGATCATCATTCTTTTTTTTCCCAATATATGTATTTTTATTGAATTTTTGTACATTTCATACATCTTAATTATATTTAGACCCCCTCTCTTATCTGCACCCCCCCACTCCCCCCCCAATAGCTCACCTACAGGATTTCATGCATTCTGTCATATATGTTAAGGCCTGTTGAGTCAAGTTTGTGTTTCTCAGTGTGAGTTCATCCACTGGAGCCTGTTCAGTCTATCTAGAGTCACTCCATTAAAGAAGAACAACTCTCCCTCACCCAGCAGTAATCAACTGCCAGTAGTTCCTCGGCTAAGGTTGGGGCCTCCTGCCCATTTCCCCAGTTCTATGCTGTTTTTTTGTCTGGGTTTACATGGGTCTTGTGCATGCTGTCTTCATTCCTGTAAGTTCATATAAGCACATTCCTAGAGTCCTGGAAAACTTGTTTCCTTGTGGTCATGTACCACCCCTGGCTCTTAAAGTCTTTCTACCCCTCTTACAGAAATGTCCTTGAGCTCTGGGTGAGGTTTAATATAGGAGTCCTATCCAGGGAAACATGTTCTTCAGTCTCTTATTCTCTACACTTTGGCCACTTGTGGCCTTCATAGTGTATACATTGAACTCTGTGGCATAAGAAAGTTTGAGAGAGTTGAGGGATGCATTAGTATTTTCTCTACTCCCTATTTTATATTACATGAGCCTTACATGTAGAGGTTTCATTATAGAAGTGTTACTTAGGGCTAGGCTTCTCACAGACACTTAATTTCTGTGACCAGTTGTGGAACTCTGTAATAGTCTCCATCTGTTGCAGAAAGAGGCTTCTTTGATGAGTGGTGAGTGGTATACTTGTCTGTAAATATAAGGATCTGTATTTATCATACAGTAAGAAATTATGTTTGTCTAGGGATGTAAAAGACTAGATTTGTGGATCTTAGCACCAAATCCTTATTTGTGAGTATATATCCTGATGTAACCGCAGGAACCAGAAAAATGGAAAAAACAAAACAAAACATGGAGGCTAAGGGAAAGAAGGCACCCAAGAGAGAGGTATAGTAGGCAATGGTGTTACCAAGGGGGAAATGGGTAAAATGGGGGTATTTAACTGGGAAGGGAGCAGGGAGGGTTATACAAGGAACTAGGGGAGAAAGGGGAAAAAGAAGCTCAAGAGGGGATATCATAGGAGTCAGGAATTATTGAGGGGAAAATGGAAGAAAAGGGTGGGGGATTTAACTGGGGAAGGAGGAGGGAGTGTTAGATAGTGTATTAGTTACTTTTCTGTTGCTGTGATAGAAACACCATGGCCAAGGGAACTTATAAAAGGAAGAGTTTATTTAGCTTAAGGTTCCAAAGGAGCAGGAGTCCATCAAGGTCAGGAGGCATGGCAGCAGAGGTGGCTAGAGGAGCAGAAGCTAAGCTCTCACATCTTCAAGCAGGCACAGGAAACAGCATGACTGGAGATCTGGCAAGGCTTAAGAACTCTAAGCCCGCCCCCAGTGATATGCTTCTTCCAGCATGGCCACACCTTTTAAGACCTCCCAAAAGAACACCACTAAGTGGGGACAAAATGTTCAAATACTTGGTGCCTATAGGGGACAGTCTCTTTCAAACTGCCATAGACAGGGAGACAGTGAAAGGAGAAATAAATTATGCTCAGGTGGTGTTAAAAAAACAGAGGGAAATGCATTAGTTCAAAAGCTTACTGAAATATACACATACATTATCTGAACATGAGTGCATGTGTATACCTGAAGGCTATATAGAAAGAAACTCAGTGCCAGACATGAGAAACCGCCATTCTAGTTGTTGGTCATGCTAGTGTAAGAGACTCCCAAAATAACAAAAGCTATTGCCATAGCTCTTGATTGCCTCCCAGAACAAAGACCCTGTTGAAGATAGGACATAACTTTGGACACAGGACTTGGAGCAGTGGAGCTGGAACTGACCTGGAAGCTTCCTTCCTGAAGACTATTTCATAGTCTATAGTTTTAGATGATAGTATGCAAGCTGCTAAGGGGGAAAAATGTGACACCTAGAAAAGGATGTCACATCTCTTGGAACTGGAGTTTTGGGAAGCTGGGAATTGAACCAGTGCTCTTAACCAATGAGCCATTTCATTAGTTCTTCCAGTATTGCAGTTTAAATACTTTATCTTTGTTATAACATATACTTGAGGATAATATGAAAGACTTCTTATATAGTATCAGCTTTCTTCACTATACAATAATACTCTCAAGGGTTAGAACCATCTGTTGTTTATCTTTACAGTTTCTAGAAGATTAAAAAAAAAATGTCTTTAAGGTACATGCCTCTGATCCCAGCATTTAGGAGACTGAAGCAGGAAGATTGAGAATTCAAGGCCAGCCTGGTATATAGTGCAAGACCTTGTCTCAGAAAGCAGTAATAACAACTAAAGCAAAGATCCTATATTTTGTATGTGTCTTTTTGAATAATTTTTTTAGTAGTGTTTGTTGGGGTTGTCCATATATA